ATCGCCCCGGCCCCACACAATTTTAAAAACCAACTGTTTTGTCTTTGATACCTGTTGGTGTATAATAATCAAAAGTTGCATAGTACAGAGTCATTTTTGAACTATCTAGACTAGGCATCAAGAGTTAAGTGGCCAACCTGTAGTCACAGACAAAAATCTGCAAGTGGGCTGCACACTTGCAAGCAGTGGTAGCACGCTCACTTAGCACCCACAAGGTCCTGGGACCACTCTCCATCACTTGGGTGGGAGGGGGGGAATTTCACACAGCTCAACACAGAATATGCAAGCAGGAGTTTGGAGGTTAGTCGTTCAGTATGAATTCTAGGTCAGTTACTGACCTCAGGTAATTAACTCTTAGGGTCTTAGTTTCCTCGTCCATCCACACTGGGGAATTATTCCTATTTGATGTGACAACTGTGAACAAAGAATGAAATGTATGAAGTACTTACAGTAAGACTGAGCGAATCTTCCTGGATAATGACATTTTATTACCATAATATAGTAAAATTATGCCAGGTATTATAAACTCAAACTTATACATTAAATATTTTCTGATTTACTTGCATTATAATATTCAAGAAGTATCAGAGGCCTGGTACCACTGACAAGGTTTGGAGTAGAGCCATTGGGAAAATGATGAAAATATTAATACAGTCAAAGCATCTAAAAATAATGTTTCTAGGGAACAATATTTTGAAAAATGTATGAAGTTATACTTAACAATTATAAACTGGAAAGGAGAGTCCTATCTTACTTAGAAATACTGTGGTCCTTTTACTCTAGTACATATTTGCTGTCCAGAATGACTAGAGTCCTCCTGATTTATCAGTACCTGTACGTGATATATCTTAATTCTTTTTTACTCCCTTCCCTTCTCTGCCCCCTCTTCTCCCTCCTTCTCTTGCTTTCTTTTCCTTCTGCAAAGGAACAATCTCACTATTTCCCATTCATTACCTTTTGTTTTGCTCTGTATTTATATTTTGATTTCTTTCATTAACTTTATTAAAAATCAATCATTATATATCATATTAAAAATTGTAGGCAAATACTGAAATGTGAAAAATATAGACAGAGTGATTTTCAGAGTAATATTTCTGAAATGAATACAGCGCATGAGATTAACAATAGATTTCACATTGTAAATAAATTATTTACAAACTTAAATGAATATAACAATAAAAATTCAGAGTTTTTCAAATCCCTTTGTTCAACAGTTTGGTTCAACTCTGACATTTTTTCATCGATTCTTTTTGTCTACCTGATTTGTGTACATTGCAACTGTAGGGTATTGAGGTCTCCCACTATAATTGTCAGTGTCTATCTGATCTCTTGTGACAGTAGTTTTTTTTTTTTGTGAAGTTGGGTTTACTGGTGTTAGAGCAAGTATGTGTGTAATTGTTATCTTGAAATCCTTTTGTGATGAAAAAGGATATTGTTCAGTCACAAACATTTCTCCAAGTAGAGTTTTTTTCCAAAACTTTTCTGCATACTACTTTTTTTTCACTTCATGGCCTCTTCAGAAACATTTAGTATAGATGATTGGGCTGTTTCTAATCATGTAATGTCTATATGTACATCTTCATATCTAACAGCAGGCTGGACTTCAGTGAACACCACTTCCACCAATCTTTTTTTTTTCTTTTTATGTATTTAGGACAGGATGTACAGGGTCTCACTCCATAGATTAGACTCGGGGTGAGTCTCCTGTTTTCCACCTCCCAAGTGCTGGGATTACAAGCACAGGCCATCACGCTCAGTCTCAATCACCACCTCAGGTCACCCTGGGGGCAGGGCCGGCAAAGCACACCAGGGATCCCGTGCACACCCTGTCGCTGCGCTGTGCCTAAGTGCATCAGTCCACTGAGCTATCTGGCCGGCCTAGTTCTACCAATCATTGACATCAGGATTTATTTATACCACAGAGGAAAAAAACTAAAAGTTAATAACTGTTTTTGAAATGAATGATTTTTATGGAAAACGGTGTGGAAATCTCTAAAGAAATTAAAAGGAGCTAAAGAAAAAAAATTAAATGAGATATGTACAATTCAAGAAACTTCCTTTTGGGTAGATACCCAGAGTCAGTGAAACCACCACCTCATAACAATGTCTACAATCCCACATACATTACATTACATTCTTATTCACAATATCCAGGATGCAGACACAAAAGAAAAATAGTGCATGAGCTCAGATAATGTGGGGACTCTAGTCAGAGAATAGGACTATGGCAATGGGTGTTGGGAAGAGGGATGGAAAGATGTCACAAGAGGCGATGTAGCAGACACGCAAGATGAACAAATGTGGAGACTTGACGGAAAACAGGGCAAGGACAGTTAGGAAAAGCATACTGCATTTCAGATTTCAGAAGTAAATTTTAGCTGTTCTTGTAAGACAAAAGATATATATATATCACTATAGTAACCATTTTACTATCATATGAATCCCACAATACCATGGTGTAAACCTCAATCATACACAATAAGATTTGCTATTTGTTGAAACTGTCTCATTGCTATTTGGTTCTCAATAAAATTATGAGGGAAAAAAAAGATTTGCTATTTGGGGTAAAAAAAAAAAAAAGACAGAACACTAGTAAAGCAAGACTACAGAAGAAAATTTACTCCATAACCTGATGATTATGAGGAGTCAAGTGAAAGTAACTGAAATCAAGAGGATGAAAACATCAGCATTCATATCAAGTTACTCATCTATATTCAGAGAAGTTCATATGCACATATACATATATACGCACATACTTTATATTAGTTAAGAAAGACTGGATCAAATCACAAATGTATTAATTCAGCAAAATAAAGCTATGGCTATTAAATATGCATTAAATTATATTCATCTGAACTACAAATTGCTATGTAAATACACTACTGATTCTTGAAATCATATTAAATATACAGAATCATCCACTGTATTTCTGCAACAGCAGACTGTGACAAGCACTGCCAGGGGATGTTAGATGAATTTCCAAATAATTTTACTTGAGAATGGGTGACAAGGGACTGGGGAGATGGCTCAGTGGAATAAGCACTTCCCTGGCAAGCGCAAGGGCCTGAGTTCAATCCCTGGTTCCGCATAAAAAAAAGAGAGAGAGAGAGAGAGAATGGGTGACAATCTGCACATGATATTGTGCTTATACTGAAATTCCTGAAATCAATAATATATTTTAAAATAAGTGTACAACTTATATAATCCACTTGTGAGTCTTTGTTACTTAATATTCATTCAAATAAGCATCACAAACTATCAGTCAGTATGTGTTAAATGGAGCCAGCTTTTAGCTTGGTTGGTGACATGCAGTGCTAGCTCCAGTTACTCGGGAGGCTAAAGGCAGGAGGATTGCTGGAGCCCAAGAGTTTGAGGCCAATCTGGGCAACATAGTGAGACTTCATCTCAAGAAACAAACAAAAAAAAACTCTGCTTTTAAGTATAGTCAGAAATGACAAGTCATCCCTTCCATTTTACTTCTTTGTTAGGCTGATTTCTGTGCTATCCTTTAGACTCCAGCAGGGAAGCATTCTCGGTCAATATCCCGGTAATCTCTGATAAAGCAAAATTTAAACCAAACTGTTGTTTCACACACTACAAACATACAACAATAATATGATCCATCACATATGAAGATGACACTGACTTACCACCAACAAAGATGAATTTCAAATTTTTTCTCCACAGCGAAGACAGACGAGCTGGTCCAGCCAGTTCTCTCCCTGAAGCCTCCTCCCTGATGAACAATAGCTTACATCTGCGAGGTGAGTGGTACCAGTGTCACAGAAAATCACAAAATAAAATCAGTGCAGAAATAAAAAGCTGTCTTTGGGTACAAACTGTTGCATGCTGATAAAATTTTTTAAACGAATATAAAAAAAACTCAAAAAACATGCAAATACCGTATAATACTTATACAAGAAGTTCTATGTGTTTTCACTCCTATGCATTCACTGTATTCCCTGCATCACTGATACACAAGTAATCAGAGCCTGACCTCTACCCCTAACTAAAAATGTTCTCAGCTGTCTTAACAGAAATAAAGATTGCTTGTGACATGTGAGATCAGAAGTGCACAGCGACAATGCGCGCATCGTGAAAGCTTGCCAAGCTTGTATCCCTCGTCACCAGCAGCAATAACGGAGGAAATTACAGAATATTTTTGTTAATGTTAGCAATATTCTCAATAGCATTAAATGCAGTAAGGCTGCAGCCACAATTACTTTGACATTTCTCAGAATTCTGAAAAATACTCCCACTTTATATGAAGAAAAAATACTTCAGTTACTTGCTACAGTGTACGTTCCTGTTAATGTAGAGATTTTGTGATATTTCTCCTGCCTGTTGATATGGAATTTTATTCATTTCTAGTTGAATCTCTTTCATGGGAGTTGAAGAGCCAATTAAATAATACTGGAATACATTGTTAGTAAAAATAATTTTGGGAGCTTCTTTATTATTTAAGCAAGTAAGAAATTAGACTAAACCTGTTAAAAATCAGAATCAGTGGATGAGTAGATAAAATTCAAACATGATCACAATGCTAAATGCTTATCATAAGCAAGGACTTATTGGAAGTTTCCACAAAGAAATATAAAAATAGTAAGGTATAATACACAAGTTCAAATAAGTCACAGTACAGATGTCACTGAAACATTTTTCCTTCGGTTCTCTACAGTTATTTATGAAACAAACAGCTAAATTCTAACCTAGCCGCCGATTGGTGAGAAAGTACAGCCTCATACCAAGGACAATAGGTACCACCAGGATGAAGCTCTACAGCTCCTCTTGCAGGTAGAGATCAGGAAATTTCAACAGAGATATTGAGAACATCTGCTACAAGCTGTGATTGGAGTCTACTGCCAGCTGTAAACAAACACATTTAGTTAATTCTGAAATACTGTATAAACACTGCCAGTCATGATTCCACTCTAATGAGTCATTCAGGTATATTCACATAATAACTTCTTGTCATATGAATCCCTTACCACCCTTGTCCACCCACTTATAAAATCTATGTGACCTCCACTAAGCTACAAATTCCTACAATTCCTCTCCATTTTGATTTCCCATGTCTAACATGCCTAGCAACACACTTAAATGGCAATCTAATAAGAAAGAAAAACATGGAAATTGGCCACTATGATAACCTGCAATCAGTTCTATAACAAGTGTTATAGAAAGTGCTATGTATAGGGCCAGCCAAATACCTCAACGGATTAAAGCACCTGCTTGGGCAGACTCAGGGGCCAGGAGTTCAATTCCCAGGCCTGCTGTGCCAGCCTCACCCCTGGGACACGCTGAGACAGCAATTGAGACTGGGCATGGTGGTGCATAGCTGTAATCCCAGCACTTGGGAGGCTGTACACAGGAGGATCACTATGAGTCCAATCTACTCAGTGAGACCCTGTCCACCCTGTACACCCTGTCCTAAATACAAAAAAAAAAGTGCTATGTATACTAAAAAGAAAAAAAGTACAGCTGAGAATAAAGCCTACCAAGAGGAAATGTCATTTTGGATAAGTACTGAGGAATAAATCTGGCATTGGTACATGCCTGTAATCCCAGCTCTCCGGAAAGCTGAGGTAGAAAGTTTGCCAGTTTGAACCCAGCCTTGGCAACTTAGCAAGACCCTGTGTCAACATAAAAAGTAAAAGAAGGGTTGGGAATGTAGCTAGCTGTGAAAGCCTGGACTCAATTATCAGTACCAGGAGTGAGGGGCAGCATAAGTAACTCCGAGATAGAGGGACAAGAAGGGAAAGAGAATTCTTAGAAAGAAATGAAAAACTATGGAGATGAGAAAAAGTATACAATATCCTGAGAACCTAAAGTAGTTTTGGGGAAAGTAGAAGATGAGAAGAAAAATGTAAGAAGATTGCAGAGGCTCCTGATTCGACAAAAGTTGGACTTCCATCCTTCCTAAAGGAGTTAAGCCAGGAGAATAACATGGTCATTCAAAGGATCTTGGCTGCAGCACCACAGTGTGGGTGGAGAGACAAGAGCCAAGGCACAGGATTTGCTCACATGAGAGAAAGCTAGCCTACTGCTGTACAGAAATAGGGCGACCCAACTATTCACCAATAACCATCAGGTCTGCCATTCAGTGAGTATCAAATTTCAATACACATTTGGAGAATATTAAAGGTCTTAATTTATTATAGAAAACTGTTTATGTGATATAAACCCAATGGAAAATGGCAGAAACTTGACAGGCATTATACTGAGACACCAAAATACTGTAGCAATAATGACCAGCTCTGAGGAGGAGAGCTATGGGTCATGTATTTTTGTTGTTGATTATTTTCCACATATCTACAGAATAGAATTAAAAATAAATCCTACAGAAATGTCTTGAAGTTTAATAGTTAAAACTGGCTTTAACTCTTTTAAAGGGCCTGAACCAGGAGTCCTTGACAACATAATTGGCCATAAAGCCTCCCCTCACCACCACAGCCCAATGTGCACAATAATTACCCCTACATCAGGGCATTAACCATATTCCAACTTCCTCTGCAACATCTTTTTGCCCCAAATGCCTATAGAAATCCCAACTTCCTCATACCACCAGCTACAATGATCATAACTACACCACACATTTTCATAGTCAATCATATTTAATTTATTAAAAACTATTCCCAACAATTACCCAGTTCATTCATCCTATAATTTTCTTAAGAATAAAAGTGCAAAATCAGCCCTACTCTAAAACAACTATTCATACAACTATGGACATGCATATAATTTTATACCAAAGCATTGATACACTTCAAGTGTATGTATGCAACCACCACTAAAGAAATTTCAAATATGCTATTGCCAAAGAACAGTCTTTTGTTGTGGGTTGGATTACATCACCCCAAAAGATGCTGATGTCCTAACTCTAGTTCCTGTGAATGGAACCATGTTGGAAATAGGGTCTCCATCAGTGCTCAAGTTAAGATAAAGTCATTAGGGTGGACACTCACATAATATGACAGGTTAACTCATAAATAGAGAAAGCTAGACACAGATACAGACAGACATCTACAATGGGCACTGTGGGAAAGTGAAAGCAGAGATCAAGGTGCCTCTGAAAGTCAAGAAATATCCGAGATTGCCAACGAGCATTCAGCAGCAAGATTTGCCCTTCACACCCTTGAGAGGGAGCCAACCGGGCTGACACTTTGATGTTGGGTTTCTACCCTCTAAAACTGTAATGCAATGAATTTCTGTTGTTTACACCACCCAGTTTGTTGCATTTTATTATCTCAACTCTAGAAAAATACCACACCTCCTGACAGAAACCATGTTTTCCCTCCTGAAAAGTCACTCAAAACAAAAATATCCTGAACTAAGATTAGAAATCAGAAATTTTAAAATCTCTTGCTGTTCCATTTTCAATATCACAGGTACTATTTAATAGCTAAGCCAACCTAGGGCCCAAAATCTCTATATTATAGGCATGATTTTTTTCCTTCATTCTATGTAATACTACTGAGGCAGATGTTCCACAATCAAATGTTACCATTTATAGATACCAGGATATAAAACAACATGAAGTTATATAAATGTTTCTTGTTTGTTTTTGTTCTGTTTTGTTTTGCTTTGTTTTGTGGAACTTGGGATTTTTTTGGAGGAGAGGGACCATTGTTCATACTAACAATCTTCTCATGTAGCATAGATTACAGGTATGTATGACCATGACCATTTTCTGTTTTCTGTTCTTTGTTTTATTTTTATTTTTATTTTTTAATAATTTTATTGAGAAACAAATAGCAATGAGACAGTTTCAAAACTGATTAGTGGGACAGTTTCAATAATTAATACGTTGCATATTGTTGTCTTCTTAGTGGTTATTCATAGTACAAGATGCAGACATAATACTCTGTCCACAAACACTATTAGAACAACTCTTTCTATTCATTGCCCGGCTTGTGAGTGAGAACTTCCACTGTGCTCTTGTAACCCCTCTACCCCTCTGGACCCAGCCCAGGCCCAGTACATGAGAACTTCTGGAACTGGGGATTGAACTCAGGACCTTGCACTTGCCAGGCAAGCATTTATTCTCCTAAACTATCTCCCCAGCCCCTCTTTGTAATAGAAGAGAGTTGCTTTATGTGCTATTTGTATCTGTGAAAACCATCCATTTAAAAAAAATACAGCATAATGAGCTACCTAGGAAGGGGCAACAACATCACCATAGGCCAGAAAAGAGCTCTAGTGCAGCACATACTTCCATGGAAATCCTTGCTCTGTCACTCTCTAGTGGTGTGACTTGAGCAAATTACTTAACCATGATTGTGCTTCAAACTCTTCATTAGTAGGATAGAAATTTTATCTTTTACAGTAATGGATTAACTAATATGTAAAATGTGATTAGCATATAATGACCAGAATAGGGTTTCACTGTGTATGTAAATGAAAAATTTGTAAGTTAAGGGTTGCTATTTCTCTTGGGCAAGAAAAATAATTAAGCAAGCTTATGTAACAGCAGAAGTCCTGATCATACATATTATATATAAAAATTTTTCTTGTGTCTAGATTGTTGTTATAAAATGCAAGATTTCAGAATTTTAAAATTGTATGTCAAAACTCAAAATGTATTTAAGCTTAATCTTAGAACTAAAATACAACTAGAATCTCAGTGACTTTGGGCTTTGTCATAAACATCAGTAAGCATATGGCTTTCAAAATTCCGTAATATGTGGCCAGAAAGATAGCTCAGCAGTCTAAGCACCTGCCCGACAAACACAGGGACTGGGGTTCAGTCCCCGTACCACATGCAGTGCCAGCCCCGAGCCATGCTGGCCACCAAAACTGGACGTCGTGGTGCATGCCTATAATCTCAGTACTGGGGAGGCTGAGACAGAAAGATCACTATGAGTCCAAGCTACCCAATGAGACCCTCTACCATATAAATAAATAAATCTTAAATAAATCCACAATATCATTGTCTTGTTCCTGTAGATCACTAAATCTTAGCCAGTTTGAAAAACTACCTCTATAAGTTAGAGTGGCATCAAGGGTAACTCTAGTAGAAAGGTTAGATCAACTGTAACCTGATACAGTTATTAATCAACTGCAACCTGCTACAGATGATTACATTCTGAAATGTAATCATCTTCATGAATATACATTTATAAAACATTTCCCTCAAAAAATTAGGGATGGGGTTCATCTCAACAGTAAATCACTTACCAAGTATGCACAAGGCCCAAGGTTTGATCCCTATCACTACAAATATAATAATAATAAAAATAATAATAATAATATAAAAGGATTTTCTTTGGAAATCAAATACTTCTTTTGAGAAATAGCTAAATAATATAAAACTTAATAGCTCACCAAAATGCAAAAGAATCTGTATCAAAGCAAACACTTAACATTTTTCTCTACCAACTGTAATATTTATCAACTGAAACTTATGTCTCTGTTTACATACTAAAAACAAGAAAAACATTGTAATCAATTAAAGAAAACTGCAATTTTTACACAGAAAATGCCGGTCTTTCTGTTAACCTTTTATCTAAAACCACTATTTTAGTCAGATTTGTCAAAAAATAGACCAACAAGCCACTTCTTGTGAGAAAGCTAAATACTAATTATTCTTCACATCATCTAATAAATTTTGATGGGTATAAAATCATGCTCAGTGCTATAACAGACTCAATATTAACATGAAGACCAAAGCATAAGGTTTTTTAATGTCTATTAAACATGCCTTGCCTTCATATTTCATGTAGTTTATAACTTTAATTCAGGCTTTGTTAGTTGAATTTGACAAAAATGAACCTGCTTCTAGCTAAATTAAGCACCATAAAGTCTCTTCATAAAACCTCTTCTCAGAGGAAAGTTGCAAACTGTTAATCAACTCTTGTTTTTTGGGC